GCGACTAGTCCCTACTACAACCGGAAGTCCGATACTACAACCAGAAGCCCTATACTGCAACTGGGCCTGGTTTTGCGTAAAACCCGAAACCACCATATCACAACCAGCCAACCACCATACATTTTGCAATATGCTGCATGGTCTCCAAACTGATGGTCAATCTTTAAGGAAACACATTCATTTTTAGAAACAAGTCAGTTGCAGTAGGTACCGCTCTTCGCCCGGATGTTACGATCTACTGAAGCTTCATCATGACCCCCTTAATCATCAAAGCCTACACACCACCCAGAAACCAAACCCCCAGCCTCAACTTTCCTCAAAGCCTAGCCATATGGAGATACGAATACTTATTTAACTTGTAATAATACAACAGGCGTAGCAATGATACGTAAACCATTATGGGGTTAAATCAAATATATCTATTGATTAAAAATCATGTTAGAAATAGTATAAGCCATTCTATAATATGGCAAGTAGACCTCCAAAAACGATCATGAGAATGATTGTATTAAGCAAATGAGCAATTTTAATGAAAATGATTGAGATTAAGTCAGCAATATTGATAAACTACAAATTAAAGTATTAAAAGAAAGGATAAAACATAAAAGAAGTCAAGGGAAAGAAGAGTGATCAAATAATGTATCGTTTGCCGCGTCAAATTGTAATCACAGCTTATCTTAATTGATAATTAATAACTTATGAACAAAATGATATTGTTAATCTTCTTCATCGTCAATAGTGAATGCTTTGTCAAATCTTACGCAAAACATCTTGTGGATGTCTTTACAGTTCATATTTTGTATGGAAGAATGAATAACGCGCATCATTCACCGCTTGTTGATACATATCAGACAATGTCTTCTTATCAACGAGGGCGCTGTTTTCTTCTAAGAAAGGGTTAACTTCTGTCATGTTTTTAAGTTTGAAAAATGTCAAAAGATATCGCTTTCTGACGAATACTTGGAGCAGTAGAAGAAAACTTTTGTAGTGGTAAAATACCACTGACCGCTTGATGCCTCCCCCTCGTGATCAAACCGTGTAGCATATGAAAATATCTAATAAACTTTGTGTCGTCGTTGTGGTCGTCAATTACAATACATGTACTGAATAAGTATTTTCCTCTTTTTGAACTCAATGACTTTCTGTTGTCCCTCAAATATCTTTTGGAAGTCTGACGGGTGGAACCCTTCAAAATATACGTTTGCTTTTGTATCATCCACTTTCACTACTTCTTTCTGGGTGTTTTTGACTTCGTAAAAGGCAGGGTCGCTATGAATTGAAGGCGAGAATATGTATACTCTTTCAACAGAACCACCGTAAATATCAGGCAAAAGGTTTTGGATGAAGACTTGTAAGCATGACCTAACAAACTTCCTAAAACTTGCAAGGATGCCCTAAAAAACTTCCCAAGACTTGTAAGGATGCCCTAAAAACAACCCTAAGACTTGTGAGGATGCCCTCGTAGACCCTGCTAAACATTCGACAGCGCTATACAAGGCTCCAGCACAACCTTTAACAACGGAATACTGTTTACATAACCCTACACTAAACAAAAAAGAACGTTCCAGTTGTGGTAGGGACCCTTTTTGCGTATATAGCTGCTCAGTTGTGGTAGGGTCCACTTTCTGGTTGCAGTATAAGGCTTCTGGTTGTAGTATCGGGCTTCCGGTTGTAGTAGGGACTAGTC